GACTTTTGGTGCCCCGAAGGTTGGGCAATCTACTTCCATAGTGATACCGCCTCAGAAACCTAAGGAGGGGTTGCTATGAGTTGGATCTGACTCAATGGCAGTGATTTTGGTTTGGTTTTATGTGTGTCAGAACGACGCTGTGTTCCATTGGGTTTCCAATGACTGCTTCTTCCACAAGTAGATTGCCAGGCCTTTCTTCCAGGGTGCTTCTGTGTGAGTGTGAACCTCTAAACTTGTGGTTAGAAGCCAAGCGAGTTACCTGCTTGCACCACCCAAGGACTCCCACATTTTGAACAAGTGCCTATTAAATGACCCCTACGGACACAAAGAGTTTAGTTTTTTTTTGACAGACACTTATATCTGAGAACTACCTCTGGAAGTTCTGGGGTTCGAGTAGTTGCTGGTCATAGGGCATGAAAAGGGCCATCTACTTCTGCAGTGATACTGCCTCAGAAACCCAAGGAGGAGTCGCTATGAGTCGGATCTGACTCGATGGCAGTGAGTTTGGTTTTCTGGTTTTCTTCTCTGTCAGTAAAGCAAGCCCAGGCCCAAGGGCTTCTGGGAATAAAGTGGCCCAGGAAACAGAAGAAGCCATCTAAACCAAACCGAACCACACCCACTGCCAGAGTAGAACTGTCCCACAGGTTTTCCAAGGCTGTAAAACTTTCCAGAAGTGGTCTAGCCCTGAATAATGAGGTTCCTCGCCATGTGTAGATCATACATTTAACTTGAAAGGTCAGACAATAAAGTTCTAAGATTAGATAGAATATCTTTATGACCTTGGGGGTAGGCAAAGATTTCTTGTACAAGATACCACAGCTCTAACCATAAAGGAAAAGATGGATACATTGCACTACATTAAAATTAAGAACGTCTGTTCATCCCAAAACAGTATTAAGAGTGTGAGAAGACAAGCTGTATTTCACAATTGAGGAAATCAAGGCACAAAGAAGTGAAGTACTGTGCCCAAGCAATAACAGCTAATTACTGTGAGGGAGTCTGGCCTCACAGTCCGTGCTCTCAAGCTTTAGGGCTTCTCAAGCTGAATAGTTCAAACAATGAGCATTCTATGTCACTACATGTCTTGGAAATAGAAAAGGCTGCAGCTGCGAGCTTACAGCAGGGTGAGCAAGGGAAGGAGGCTGGCATCCTGGGGCTCTCGGCTCAGCCCGGAGCTGAGCCGCTGCTTCGTTCCCAGTCGCACCACTAGAGGGCGTGAGTAACTTAAAGTCGCCAGCGATGCCCCAGTTTTCCGACCCTGATTACCTTTCAAGAAATCATCAAACATTTACCTCATGAGCAGTTCAAAAGGAATATCAAAGTTGTCTAATCTAGTTGCCATGCAGGACACTAACAAAAAGAGACAAAACTGGACTGATCTGTCTTAAGTATCTTCAGGGAAGAAGGACACCACCCACTTCCAGGCTAATTAACTATACTAAGGCGTCTCTCCTTAAATCTCTTACTCTACTAGTTCAAGCCGTTTTTCTTTTGTTCTATCCTTAGTGGCAACAGGAGCAACTGTTTGGTGTCCTCATAGCAACCGCTCATCAGAAGTGCTTGTAAATAGTGAGTTGTATAGTTATGAGGTCAACTTACATACAGTTCTCATTTCTCTCAAAGAGATAATAGCACTCAATTACATTTTACCTTCTTAGCAATTTACATATTTCTTTGGTCTTGCTCCAAGTTCTCTGTGTCCCTTTGAAAGAATAAAAACCAAGAGTGAACTTTGCACTACAATGTTCTATTTAGTGCCAAATTTACTTCCTAATTCTTGAATGTTATCCTGTTACCATACCCCAAACCAAAAAACAAACCCTCTGCCATCAAGTCCACTCCGACTCACAGCAACCCCCACTGGGTTTCCAAGGCTGTAAGTCTTTACGGAAGTGGATTGCCTCATCTTCCTTCCTCAGAGCAACTGGTGGGTTTGAACCACCAACCTTCTGGTTAGCAGCCAAATGCCTTAGCCACTACACCACCAGAGCTCCTTGTTACTTATATCCAGGCAACATGCAATTATTCTATTTTTAAAAGTCATCTCTATCAACTTGATGAAGGACCTTTGGTGGTGTAGTGGTTAAGAGCACTTGGCTGCTAACCCAAAGGTTGGTGGTTCAAACCCACCAGCTGCTCTGTGGGAAAAAGATGAGGCAGTCTGTTTCCATAAAGAGTTACAGCCTTGGAAACCCAATGGGGGTTGCTGTGACTTGGAGTCAACTTGATGGCAGTGAATCTGAAGATTTTTTTTTTTATCAACTTGATGAAGGATTATATGGTCATTAAAATACAAAAATAATGACATCGCAATATAGAAAAAGCTTAATACTGTAAATTTAAAAAAGCATACAGAACTTCACCTCTGCTTTGATTGATTAAAGCTGTGAAACTTAGATGCATATTGATGGAGTCTAGAAGGAAACAGAAAAAATAATGGATTTGTTAGCTTTTTTAGATTAATGATTACTTCTCTTCTTCGTTGTCCATTAGTGGTATAATTTTGAAGACTTTTTGAAAATAAGTAAAATCTTTTATTCACTCAACAACTTATGCTGCACTCATTATCTGTAAGACTCTTGGCTAGGTGTTATAAGGAAGACAAAATCAGACACAGACCCTGCCATTCAGAATAATAATAGCTGATGCTTATTAAGTGCTTTCTAGGGATTATTATCATCCCTACTGTATAGATTAAGGAAGTGAGGGAAAGAAAGGTTAATTAGTTTACCCAAGGTCACACAGAATAAAAGAAGAACCAGAATTTGAACTCAGTCACTCCAATACCTGAGACACAGTGCTTAATCAGTACACCACACTGCCACTTATAATCTAATGAGATAGAAGGGGGTAGGTGGCATTCAATCATTCAGCAAATATTTATTGATCACCTACTACTACATGTGGGAGCTCTGGTGGTATAGTGCCTAAGACACTTGACTGCTAACCAGAAGGCTGGTGGTTCAAACCCACCAGCCACTCCTCGGAAGGAAGATGGGGCAATCTACTTCTGTAGTGATACTGCCTCGGAAACCCAAGGAGGGGTCTCTATGAGTCGGGGCCCACTCGATGGCACATAACAACAACAACTACTACATGTCAGGCACCAGGCAAGGTGCTAAGAATACACTGATGAGCAAGATAGACATAGGCCCTGCCCTCATGGAGTTCACAGTCTGTAGATAAAGAATTATGGGAGTTCAAAGGTGGAAAAGACAATAGCACTCACAGCTGAGGCTTACACTCTCTGTTCTGCTCCTGGCAGGGCATCAACCTTGTGGAGAGAATGTGGGGATAGAAGAGGTGGGAACACAAACCTTAAAAGAAAAGTAATGAAAGGGACATCTATTCATTCTGCAGCATTTGGACAAAGGAATCAAAAATAAGGATAGGGTGAGGTGAAGGGACTGGGATAGTACTTTAAGGTCACTGACAACCCAGGACTATAGTCCCTGTTCAAATTTTATTCAAATAATCCTTGAGCATCAAATGCCAAGCACTGAGCCAGACTCTGGAAATGTAATTGAAAATAAGCCACAGCCCCTGATTTCTGGGAGATTATCATCTAATGAGACAGACAACTAAGCAAGAAATTACCATGTTCTAGGGCCAGTGATAAGAAGCACAGAATGAAATGGGCCAGTATTCAGGCTGGAACCAGACATCCAAGGTGACATCTATTCTGAGTAGTGACACAGGATAAACTGGAGTTGGAAAGGGGGTGGCGTGGGGAATGCAATTCCAGGCGAGGGAACAGCTTGTGAAAAGCCCTGGAAATGCGAGAGTCTAGGATTGCAACAACACTGGTTCATAGAGCAGTGCCAGAAAATGCCACTACATTGCTGACTCGAGTTCCTTCATCGCCCATTCCCGGGTTCAGGAAAGCACAGGCACAACCTAGGGTGGGATTGTAACAGAGTGTTTTCCACCAGGTCACTCCAGAGCTCCAGCCCCACGGCAGCATCCTTGTCCACCTCCAGTACTTCATTGAGAGTGTTTATACGCTTTTCTTGCCAGTCAGTCAGGCCATCAGCGAGCCCTGTGCTGGACTTCAGAAGACAAAGAGGGCCCTCCTTCCCAGAGGAGGAGTGGGGACAGTGTCCTCCACATGTCTGAATCCCACACAGAATCCAGAACAATGCTTTGCATACAATAGTACCATCAGGTCTACTAAATATAGAACTGAAAGAAAATTAGTTCATCTGATGGCATAATTACTGCCTCAGCCCACGTCCTCCACACCCCCAGGCCCTGCTCCCAAGCCCTCCACTGCAGCGTTATCAGGGCACTCCTCCTCCGTCCCAGACTCTGCTTCTTGCAAACTGCAAGGAGTTCAGTAGCTATAGAAGCATAGCGTTGTGCAGAAAAGCAAAGCCTTCAGAATCAGAATAATCTGAGTAGAGTCCTTTTGTTAGCCTAATGATGTTGAGCTAGTCACTCAACCTGGGGGCAGCCTCCGTTTCCCTCATCTGTAAAATGAGGGTCTCGCTGGGGTTTGTTGAATGAATGGAACTGCGCTGAGTAGAAAGTCTGCGTAAGATTATCACGTTGCTTGTCACAGAAGATGCACTCCACAAATGGTAGCTTTAGTAGAATAACGTAGATGATTTAATAGAGTGGGGTGATACATAATAATGACGCTGTTGATGACGCTGCAGATGTAGGACTGGGGTTGTCAATGCTGTACATCACTGGCTGAAGTCACAACAATCCCCACCAGTCCGAGCATCTTCTTTTAGCGACAGGCTCTGACCAGAAGCGTGGGTAAGAGATCCACTGTCCCTTGAGTCCTGGCCCACGTCCCGGCCTCTAGGGCAGCTGCTGCCTGCGTCACCAGCCTAGCCCGCCAGCTCCTCCAGGGCAGCGGACACATGGTGGGAACGTGAGGGGGCGGGGTCTGACCCAGCGCCACTGAGCCAATCGCCCGGCAGGAGGCGCTCAGCCAATGATAGAGGCGCTCCAGGGCTCTCAGGGGCCGGGCCACAGCAAGGAGCGGCAGCGTTATAGGTCACTGGGCGGGTTGGAGGTGGAGCCTGTGGCGCTGCCGGGGGCGGAGCGGCGCCGGCCACAGCATTCCAGGCGGAGATGGCGGCGGCAATGGCGACGGCGGCAGCCGCGGCCTCGGCGCCGACTGCGGAAGGCGCTTCCTCTGTGCACTGGTTCCGCAAGGGACTGCGACTCCACGACAACCCGGCACTACTGGAGGCCGTTCGCGGGGCCCGCTGCGTCCGCTGCGTTTACATTCTCGATCCTTGGTTCGCGGCCTCCTCCTCAGTAGGAATCAACCGATGGAGGTGAGGGGGCCTGAGGCGAGGTTGCAGATCCGGGAGGCGCTCCCTGACCCCCAGGGCCCAGAGGGGTAGCCTCTGTGTCCCACTCACGAGCGGAGGACACGGGCCTGAGGGGGATGGGCTAGGGGACGGAGCGGGGGTCTCCCGAGGCGAGAAACTAGGACCAGCGGAGTAATTAGTCTTCGTGTTCATGCCCTAGGTGGGCGAGGATTCGACCTCTGAGAAAGGGCTTTTGCGCCGTGTCTTATTTCCTTTGAGCCTCACACCATCCCTGTGGGACAGAGATCATGAGCCCCATTGGACAGATGACACTCTGTTGTTGTTGTTGTTATGTGCCTTCGAGTCGGCCCCGACTCATAGCGACCCCTCCTTGGGTTTCCGAGGCAGTATCACTATGGAAGTACGATTGCCCAACCTTCCTTCCGAGGAGTGGCTGGTGGGTTTGAACCGCCAGCCTTCTGGTTAGCAGTCAAGTGCTTTAGCCACTATGCTACCAGAGCTCCTTCTAGAGCCCCAGAAATGCAAAGTTGACCTGTCCAAGGGCATGCAGCCTGCGAGCGACTGAACAGGGAGGGACTCGTGGTCTGGGGCTCTTAGGGGAGTGCCCAGGGAGGGGAGGAAAAGGAGATGTTGCGGTGGGAGGTGGGCACGGGTTCTGTGGCAGAGCAGATGCTGGCATTACTTCAAGGGGAGAGCCCTTCGCTGGGCTCCTGAAGGTCATCCCTAAGCTCCTGGTTTGTTTGAATCGGTTCTTTCACCATTCTCTCTTCCTCTCCACCCAGAAGGAGGTGTCTAGAGACCCTGCTGTAGCATTAGAGAAGGCAGGTGCCATCTCCCCCAGGGGCATCTGTAGTTAGAGGCACTCTGTGTCCCCAACTGTCCAGCAGTGCTTAACCCATTGTGGAGAACGCTCACAGCAGCTGTGAACTTGCTAGGCCCAAAAAGGAACCAAACCCTTCCTCTTCCTCTGTGAGGTGATTTTAAGGGACAGTTGAGCCCTGATAGATCAGACCTTTGTGAGCTGAGGCCCTAAGGTGAGGGTGGAGGAAAGCTGTGATATCAAAGACCTCTCTCTGATGACTCACAGGTGATGGAGTTGACAGGGTCATGGGAAGGAATTAGCTGATAGGTAGTTGGTGTTTTTTCTCTGTAACTAATGTTAGAACCAAAGAGTGTGGGAACATTATATGCCAGACCAAACCCACTGCTGTCGAATTGGTTCCGACTCATAGCGACCCTGTAGGACAGAGTAGAAGTACCCCCATGGGGTTTCTAAGGCTGTAAATCTCTAAGGAGGCACACTGTCCTGTGTTCTCCCTTGAAGTGGCTAGTGGTTCTAATTGCTGACGTTTTGGTTATCAGCCTGAGTGCTTAATCACTGTGCCACCAGGGCTCCTTAGTGTATATACCCAGCTCTCTTTACAGTGCAGTCGCTTGCTTTGTTTGCACCGTTCCGAGGAATGTTGGCTGATAGTCTTGTTGCATTAGGGGCAGGGTTATTCCCAGGATACAGTGGTCTCAGCACCCCATTCTTTCTGCTCCAAGGTATGTGCCCTGCTAGGAGACCGAGTGCTTCGCAGAGTGGGATGATTAAATGCCCCCTCATGCCCCATTTTTGCAGAGAGGACTAAAGATAGGTCGGGGAGAGCCTGCCCACACAGTTCCCAGTCTGCCCTCCTGCTCTGCCTCTGCTCCAGTTTCTACTGAAGGTTCGTTTGAACAGACATCCACAGATGCACGTCTCTGTGTCTCTGGTGGACGTGAAGCCAAGTCTCAGACTTTGCCCCCTTCTGTGGCAGCGTGCCAATCAGAGCAGAGGGACTAGAATCTGTTTACTGTCACATTGTCACAAAGGAGTTTTTTAATTCCGTTTTGAGGGACATTGCAGAGAACTGCCTACTTTTCTGGTCGTGGGAGTGATGGAAAATCAGCAACAAATACTGTGCTGCTGATTGAACTCCGTTTTGCTAGAAACTAGGTGTTTATGGATTTTTATGGGTCACCCTTTTGTGATCGTGTGAGTGAAGGAGAAAAGAATGTGGCAGGTCAGATGCCTGAGTCAAATCCTGAAGTCTGAGGCCATGCAGGAATGCAGCTATTAATTGAGCAATGATTTAATGAGTGCCTAATATTCACCAGGCACTGCTGTAGGGGTTGCTAGGGAAATAGCTATAAACACGCCATTGTGGTATCTGCTTTCTGAGCTCCTGGAGCTGCGCTGTAGTGGGGGGAAACAAGTAAGCAACTGTAATCCTTAGAACTAAGGAAGTACCATGAAGAAAATAAACCAGGCCTGAACCAAAGCGGTGCTTCTCAGTCTTGGCTGCACATTGGAACCAACTAAGGATGTTTAAAAGATACCTGGGTCACCCCGCCCCCAACATCCACTTTCACTGTTTTGGGGTATGGCCTGGGCACCTGGGCTTTTAAAGCTCTCCTGCACTGCAAGACTTAGAAAGGACTAGGCCTGAGCCAGACGGCGGGGAAACGTGCTGCAGTGCGCTGGCCGCATTCATTTTGGCATTCAGAAGAAAGGGGTGAAATAAACCCAAACAGATACAACCTGGTAACTGCTCCTGGGGCCTGGAAACAGATAGTCCTCCTGCCCCACTGTACTGTTTTCTCCCCACGGGAGGGAGGCAGCCACATACAGGCTTGGGCAAGTGGTTGGGGGTTAGGGGATGTGGTGGAGCCCTACCTCTGCATAACTACAATATGTGTAATCTTCCGGAGGCTGTTTTGGGATCTGGGAGTGGTCTGAGAGAATTGTGCTGCAGCAGAAGGTCTTGGCGCCGCCACTGCTTGAATTGCTGCATCTGAGGAACTTCCCTAGGAAGGGTGGGCCCATGTGCAAGAGGAGGCGGGAAATCAAACTCTCTGGTTACTTTTACCCTCCTTCCCTGACTCCTGCCCACCATTTCCCCGCAGATAAACTCAGATTAAAATAGCCGTGAACTGCACTTTCTAAGAATACAAGAGGACAGAGAAAGTAATGAAGAAATGTGTCTTTGCTTTGGCCCCCAGCTCATGGTGACTCCATGCACAGTGGGATGGGACGGTTGTGATCCACAGGGTTTCACTGACTGATTTTCAGCAGCAGATCACCAGGCCTTTCTTCCTGGTCTGTCTTAGGCTGGAAGGTCAGCTGAAACCCGCTTAGCATCATAGCAACACGCCAGCCTTCGCTGACAGACGGGTGGTGTTTGCACATGAGCAGCATCGGCAGAGACTGAACCCCAGTCTCCTGTGTGGAAGCCAGGAATTCTGCCACTGGACCACCGCTGTCCCTCCTCGGTGCTGGTAGGAAGTTTATGGGTTAAGTGCAGCTAGATGGGCAGTAGGACTTTTTTTTAAAGCACCAACTGCCTAAGTCTTTGGCCATTTACCACAGTACCTTCCCCAAACTTGTAGGAGCTACAGCAGTCTAGAACCCCAAAACAGGAAGCTGTGAGCAGCTTCTAGATTTAAAACTTGGTATTTGAAATAGGCCATTGCAGAGTTTCATTGTCTCTCTCGCCTGCTACAGCTTGTGTAGGCGCTGACAACAGTTCTCACACTTTATTCAAATCATTTCATCCCTGCCTCTGGGACTGCATTCAGGAGCCACTGGGACAGAGGAGGTTGGTAGAAATGTGTACTAGCTAGTGGGTCCTCACTCAGCCCGCATGGCTCAGAATTAGCCAATGAGGTGAAATGAGAACTCCCCAGGAGGCCTAGTGAAAAGTGTGTCTCTCTTTCTAAATGCTGGGTGCCAAATGCTGTTGGACTGTCGTCATGGGTGGTTCTTTCTTGGAACTTAGTCGGTGAGAAGGGGACTAAGGGATCTGGTCTGCATGGTGGGGACATTTCAGTCTCTGAGCTGTTCACACTGGTAGCCAAGCAAGTCACTTTACCATTCTGCTGCTGAGGAAATGTTTGTTGGCTCAGGAGGACCTTCCTCTTCCTCTTCGAGATTAGGAAAGAATTAATGTATTTTTATCTGAGTGCTATTTAGTTTAATCTCTGCAGTGGATTGTGGGTTGGGTATCTTTTTCCCCTGGGCTTGTTGTCATTGGATGCCACTGAGTCGATTTTCGACTTGCAGCGACCCCATGTGACAGAGTAGAACAGCCCCATGGGGTTTTCTAGGCTATAATCTTTACCGAAGCACATCACCAAGGGATGTGCCACTGGGTAGGCTTGAACCACCAACGATTGTGCCACCAGGGCTCCTCCCCTGGGACTTATGCTCTCTTAATTGGTTAGGAGAAACCAGTTTCTATTTATAGCCCATGCAGCCAGTCTGTTGCCACTGTGGTTAGATAACCCTGGTTTGAAGCAGAGAAACTTGGTCAAGGGCAGATCTGCATCACCTCCATAACAACAAATAACAAACACTCTTCAGCACAGACTCTGCCATCCCTAAAGAAGGCCTTTCCTAAATCTGAGTCCTTAACCAGAAGAAGCTGCCTGTTTTATTCTAAAGGTAGCCCCATGGAAGCCCTGAATTACAGGGTCCTCTCTGTATTTCTGGAAATCCCAATTTGATTTTGTCCACCTTCGTCTGCGCCTGGCTCCAGCGCACTTACGTAATGTGATTCACTTGCACATGTGTGTTGTCTAATCCAGGGGTGAGCTTTCACCACTCACGCTGGACTGTGTGCTCCGAGTTTGGGCCGTGTGAGCTCAGGTTGGTGTGTCCAAGGATGAGCTGCCAGCCCCCTTCCCAGCCCTCCAATGCCCAGGCCAGTTTTCTTTAGAGCCCCTCCTCATTGGTGTAAATAGAAACCGGCCAGGGGGAGAGGAGCTGTGGGGGAGCCTAGGAGGCCTAAGGTTCTCCCTGCTGAGAGAATCCCTGAGCTGCCCGCTGCAGCCCTGCTCCAGGTTACTTTGCTGTTATGCAAAGCTGTCACCAGGCAGGCTTCTGAGCTTCAGAGTGACTTCTCTTTCTCTGGCTGCCTGGTTGTTGTTATGTGCTGTCAAGTCGGACCTGACTCATAGCGAGCCCTCCTTGGGTTTCTGAGGCAGTATCTCCATGGAAGTAGATTGCCCAACCTTCCTTCCGAGGAGTGGCTGGTGGGTTTGAACCGCCAATCTTCTGGTTAGCAGGCAAGTGCCTTAGGCACTATGCTACCAGAGCTCCCCTGGCTGCCTGGAGGCTGGGGTTACTGGGACCCCTCTGTGTCTCCTTTCTCCTCCTGTGGGGCCAGCCTGAGCCCTCGCTTCCCTTCCCTGAGGTGCCCTTCAGGGCTTGTCTCTGGAGAGAAGGAGGAGGCGGCAGCAATTGTAGAGAAGAGACAGAAACCGGAGCTCAAAGAGCAAAAATTGAGTAGAGAAACACATTAGAAGCCAAGGACAGGCAACTTGTGTACAGAGGTGACAAGTCAAGTCCAGTGTCCTACAACAGTGCTTCTGAACCTTTCACGTGCAAACAAAGGGCCAGGGATCTTGTTAAAATGCAGATTCAGATTCTGGAGGTCTGGGAGGGAGCCTGAGAGTCTGCACTGCAACAAGCTCCTGGCAGAGGCTGACGCTATTGGTGCACTGAGCACACTCAAGTAGCAAAAGTCCGGCAGCAGAGGTATGGCATCTGAGGAGGGTTCTTGTGCTCCCTGATGGCTGAGCTTGGCTGAGAAGCAGTGAAACCCAGTGGTTAGGAACACAGACTCTGAGCCTGGGCCTAGGCTTGAATCCCAGCCACCTGCTAGCTGTATGAAGGAGTCTGTAGGTGGTGCACACAATACACTTGGCTGCCATCCAGAAGGTGGGAGGCTCACCTTCACCTAGAGGTGCCTCAAAAGAAAGACCTGGCAATCAGCTTCTGACATGTCAGCCGTTGACGTCTCTGTGGAGCACAGTCCTACTCTGACCCACATGGGGCGCCTTGAGGTGGAAATCCAACTTGTTGGCAACTGGTACTGGTGCTAGGTGTCTGACACTGGTTAAGTCTCCCTGTGCCTCAATTTCCTTATCTATAAAATGGGAATAATAGTAGTATCTACTTCCTAGGGCCGCTATGAGAATTGAATGAGGTAATACGTGTAAACCAAACAGTGCCTGGCTCATTGTAAGTACCCAGTAAATGTCAACTGCTGCTGTTGTTATCACTTATGTTTAGTTACTGAGTTCAGAGGTGGGCCTTCTGCTGCCTGCCTTAGCTGTCAGTGTCTCTTCTCCAAGATGAAAAGGATGGTCGTGGGCTTCTTTCCCTCAGAGAAGCTGCACAGGCTCTCCCCTTTTAGTAAGTGAAGTCTAGAAATAGACTTCTATAGAAGGCAGCCCACTTCATGTTCCAGAGTCTAAAGTTCTTGTGTGTGTTCAGATCTGAGCCCAGTGCAGTCCCCAGGCTGTGAAGGAAGAGCCCCCAAGTCATGGAAGGACATTTTTGGGAGCACCGATAGAGGAGATCCCTGATCCTGGGGTTGTGGAATTGGAACCACAACAGTTGTCTGCACGCGTTCCCAACAGGCAGGGCCCAGGGCTCGGGTGGCATGAAGCTACTTACATGTGCCTCTCTTCTCCTTCTGGGAGGCGTGGTGAGGCCACAGAGGAGGCCAGCACAAATGCGTCACTCTTGTCTTCTCTTTCCTTTTCTGGAGGTGTCAGTTTTTCAAAACCAGAAATTTGTGGAGGCAGGGGCACTGGTTTGCATTAAGCAGCACTAGCTCTGTCAGAGTGCCCTGTTGTAGCCGGTCGGGGAGGCTCCTACACGCACTGTTGCTTGCCTGGTGCTTTGGGCTGAGCCCAGACTCGGCCGCCGGAGCTGGAATGTGGGTGTGTGGCCTTTGCCACTGTGGGAGTGTGGCAAGTTCTGTACGGCAGCAGCAGCGGGGGCTGGTTCTGGTTGGCAGCTGGGACCCATGGCAGGCTTCATCATGCTCAGAGTAGAATGTGGTGATTCTCACTGTTGATAAAGTCTGTGGGGCAGGATGGGTGGGCGAAGCCAAAGGTAGATAAGAGGCACCTTGGTGCTATCTGGGAATGCTGGCTAACCTGTCAGGGCTTGGTTCCTGATGTGGAAGGGAAGAAGGTCAGTGGATTACTTGTGGTCACATCTGCATTTGCCAGAGAAACAGGTTGCAGACACACAAGTTCCTACAAAACCCCAGTGCCCACAGCAGTGTTTGGCGTACCTACAAGGCTTTGGAAATGCAGCGCGGAGAAGACGTGAGCTTCAGAGCCTGACTGACCTGGGTCCCTGTCCCAGCTTTGTCACTCAGTAGCTGTGATTCTAGGCACATTACTTAACTTCTTGTACCTCAGTTTCCTCATTTATAAAATGAGGATAATAACATTTCTCTTCAAAGTTTGTTGAGAGGATTAAATGAGGAAATGCACTTAAAAAGCATGACAAATACATATTAAGGATAACACTGGTTGCGCCTGGAGAGGGGAGTTCAATTCCTGGGGAAATGAGACCAGGAGACGTTTTGCGTGTACCATTTTGTAACTTGAGTTTCTAACCATATGAATAGTTTACCTGTTTAAAATATTGTCATTAGCTGCCATAGGGTCACCCCGCAACCCATGGTGGCCTCCCGTGTACAGTGGGACGAAACGCTGCCCAGTCCTGCCCCATGCTCCTAATCAGTTGCATATCGGAACTTAATTCAGTTTCTCTTAAACTAAAACCCTGAAGGTACTCAGCAAATGTTCACTTCCTTTTTTCCCTGGTGACACAAGCTCTGGCTTGAAGCTGCCAGGTACCCACAGTGTAGGAAGCACCCTACAAGGATGTCCTCTCCAGAAGGTTCTTCTAGACCTGTGCCTGCTTGGGATGAAAACCTGGTGGCCTGAGCCCTGGATGAATGTGGGGAGTGAGCCACCTGCCAGACCACCTCTGAGAAGGCACTGGGGCCGGGGTCTCAGGCCAGGCTGATACTGTAGAAACACATGCAGTCCAGAGATATGACCCTGGAAAGGCACTGAGTCCCTCAGACCAGGGTAGGCAGGATTTTCCAGGGCTGTTACAGCCTATTCTCTGCTAATAGGACCTTACTGCTTCTGTACCTCAGTATCATCCTTGTTTCTCAGCTGGCTTTTTCCTACCATCCTACAACAACCATGCTGGGCAGATATCTAAACAGCAGCTCACATTTCCCTAGTGTTGTCCTTGACCAGGCACTGTGCTCGGTGTTTTTCTTGCATTGTTTGATTTCTTCTTCTTAGTGATTCTATGAGATAACTACCAACCTAACTCTACATTACAGATGAGAACAGGCTAACTAGGGTAAGTAACTGCCACTGGTCACACACAGCCTGGATGAGGCAGAGCCAGGATTTCAACAAGGCAGCACGGCTCTACCACCGTCTCACTCCTGGGCCACACTCCAGGCCTCGCCCAGCCGGGTGCTGGTGCTGCACTTGTTTGGTCGCTCTCTGCTCTGCCGGGAAGGAGAGCTGCTCTCGATTGTGTTGGCACTGACGAGGCCTGTGTGTGCTCTGCAGGTTTCTCCTTCAGTCTCTGGAAGACTTGGACACAAGTTTAAGGACGCTGAACTCTCGCCTGTTTGTAGTCCGGGGCCAGCCAGCTGACGTGTTCCCAAGGCTATTCAAGGTGAGTATGGACAGCCAAGAAAAGACAGTGAGAGTCTGCCTCTCAAGGGTCCCGCAGATGAGTGACGTGATGTTCTGAATGGGAGAGTGGAAATGGTTGGGGCCAGCCTGACCGTTGCTGCTAGGGAAGCTGGGAGCAAAGGCAGCTGGTCGGGTTGATGCTAGAATGGAAATTGTGTTAACGGAAAAATTCTATGAAACCAGTGTCTTGTTGGAACGCTCCCAGCTCAGTCCAGACATGGGATGTGGCAAGTTATTCCACCCTGGATTCCACTGACTTCCTTAGCGGTTTGGTTGGCTCAAGCCAGCAAGATTCATTAGGGCTCCTTCTAGGCCAGGAGTTTGAGGGTGGGGTTTCCTGTTTACCAAGGGGCGTTTCCTGCTTACTGGGACTTAAAAAAGAAAAAAAAGGGGGCAGCCTTTCTGAAGGGGTGACCCTGCTTCCCTGGGATAAATGAATAAGAAAATCTTCATTTGGGTATCACCCAGGCCTCTGTGTGCTATGTTGGGGGCCAGCCGCTTCTCCCCAGCCCCTTTAAAAAGCCTATCTTGAGGCCCACATAGAGGCAGACATACTCACGGACAGAGGGCTCTCAGTCTGCCTTCATCCTCCACAGCACTGTTTTTATGGCCCTGTCCAATCCAGCATCCTCCCCTACTCTTCCTGGGAGAAAGGCTGAAGTAAAGGTCTCATGTCAGGGCAAATAGCTCAGGAAAAATTCTGCCATTCACTCCCCCCCATCCCCATACACACACGCACCTATTACAGGAATTACACAGTGCTAGTAGCTAATGTTCACTGAGGGCTGACTGTGAGTCAGGCAGTGTTCTCAGTGCTTTACATACGTTAACTCAGACATTCCTCAGAGCAGCCCTAAGAGTAGGTACTCTTTCCCAGTTTTACAGATGAGGAAACAGTAACTTGCTCCTGGTCATGAGGTTAATAAGTGGTGGTCTAGGATTGGAGCCCGGGGGCTGGCCTCCAGAGTGTGTTCATAAGCACCACACCATGCAAAGCCATTTGCCTCCTTCTCCCACCACATTGTTCCCCCTGCACCCAGCACCTCAGAGGCCAGCCAGTAACAGTGAGAGATACAGAATGCTCATGCATTCAAACCTCCAACATCTATTAATTGAGCTCCTACTGTGTACTGAACCCCATACTAGGTCTGAGGGTCACGATCAGTGAGACAGTGTGGTTTCTGCTCTGAGAGTTCCCACTCTAGTGGGAAGCAGGCCAGTTAATGGCACCTTCACTGCCAGGCAATAGATGCAGCGATGGAAAAAGAGCAAGGTGCAAGAGAATCATGTTGAAGGAGGAGGAGGTCAAGGAGGGCTTCTTGGAGAAGGTATCATCTCATCATAATACTGTTGTTACTATTCACAGTGTTATTAGGAGTGTTTATTAATGTAATCTATATGAACTACTAAGCATAGTACCTGGCTCATAGTACAGGGTTAATAAAAGTTTACTGCTCTTATCCTAAGGAGCTCTGGTGGCACAATTGTTAAGTGCTCAGCTGCTAACCACTGCTAACCAAAAAGTCAGTGGTTTGAACCCACCAGTCACTCTGCAGGAGAAAGATGCAGCAGTCTGCTTCTGTAGAGATTTACAGCCTTAGAATCCCTATGGGCTGGTTCTACTCTGTCCTTCAGGGTTGCTATGGGTTGAAATCAACATGAGGGCAATGAGTTTGATTTACTGTTTGTTCTTGTCCTTGGGATACCAGCCCTGCCCAGGACCCATACATACCGCAGTAGGCCTGGACCAGCACCAGACCAGTCTGTGCAAGGCCAGGATCATTGCCCAGGGCTCGTAGCTTTAATGGACCAGAGGCTTCGGCTGGAATGTTTTGGCCTTTCGATGGTTCCATGCTCCAGAGCTTTCTGTAGGTTGTCTGTACATCCTTTCCTTGGGCAAGCTTTCTCCCAGCATTGCTAAGAAGTCTAGCAATCCCTACTAGAAATACCTAAGAGCTTGGAAAAGAATTCCCTTTGTCACCAGGCAGCCCCGCTGGTCTCTGAGTTCTCTGACCATTGGAACACGGCTCACTCCTCCTTCCCCAACTCTGAGAGCTGGAGCCTATTAGCTCTATTTGCCGGCCAACCTCAGGAGTGTTGCTGTGGAAACCAGTAGGACACTTCATATCACAAAGTCTGCCAAGAAAACTAGGCCACAAGCTTGCAGGACGTGAGGAGCGCTGGGGAAGGAAGGCTTGCAGAGCAGGCGGGAGGCGGCGAGCCCATCCCCTGCTGTCTCCAGCAGTGAGTCAGTGGCTCTTTCGGGACTGGGGGCTCCCCTGGGAGCATTGCAAGGACACTGCAGGCACACGGGGCGGGCCGCCTCTCTCCTCACTTCACACAGACTGCTTCCCTCAGAAGCACCATTGCTATGTTGCTGGCTCACCCCACTGGTCTGCCCTCCTCAAGCCTTATGAACCACAGGTTGCATGCTTTCCTGCTCAAACTGTTATCTCTAGTTCATTCCACAGCCCATTCTGCCAAGTCTCCAGACTTACTCTGTGCCCTCCCAGAAAGGAGCTGAGTGCCCAGCTTCTGCCTCCCCACAAATTCAGTGCTGAATATAATAGATTCTCTCCCCACAGGAATGGGGGGTGACCCGCCTGACCTTTGAATATGACTCCGAACCCTTTGGGAAGGAGCGAGATGCAGCCATCGTGAAGATGGCCAAGGAGGCTGGAGTAGAGGTGGTGACCGAGAACTCTCACACCCTCTATGACCTGGACAGGTGAGAAGGGGCCCAGGGTCAGGTGGCCACTCATGAGAGGTGGTGATTTGGGTGAGGAGATGCAGCAGCAGGCCCACCCAGTATGTGAGGTTTGCTGTTTTCTAGAAGCCGGAGAATGGGGCCTATAGACCAGGTCACAAAGAGCTTTACCCTCTTTAGGTGACAGAGGCTTGTTGGCCCGAGGAATGGAAACAGTGAGATTTCTCTGGGTCTTCATAAACCCGCTCCTGATCTCAGATCTGGCTGCGGTCCCAGCTGCGCCTCACGCCCACTCTGCCCTGTGCCTCGCTGGCCGCCCTCTGACCACAGTGGACCCTGCCAGCAGATCTTTATTCTGATAGGCCCAGTGTCTGTACCTGGCGTGAGGTCCCTGGGCTCCCCTCCTATCTGGGTTTCCAGGCCATGTGTTTCCATGTGGCTTGGGAGGCCTTAGCCATCCCCACAGAGAGCTGCTAACAAAGGGGTTGCCTTTTCCCCAGTGGCAAGCCTCTGTGCCTCCAGAGGCTAAGAAGAAACCCTCTCCAGCCCTTCCTCTTCCAGAGCTGTCACCTCCTGCTGCTCCCCACCCCCTCTCCCGCCCAGTGGTGGCTGCCAGGAGGCCGGGTCACACAGCTGTGCATGTGAGCTGGGCCTTCAGGAGGAGATTTTGTGTGTGGAGCTCCTCCTCCTGCCACGTGCCAGTGGAGGGGGTAGGTACTGCAGGGCCGCAGCCAGCCTTCTATCTCTTCTAATGGAGGGAGAGAGAGAACCAACTATAAAATGAACTCAGCCAGCCAGGTCTTGCGTAAGCTACTTCTCAGCCAACAAGAGCCCCAGGAATCTGGCTCCAAAACATCCCAATTTATCTTTATATAAACAGCCTCAATTCGCCTTTTCACCTTCCTCTATAATTCCTTCTTGCAGGATTGTAACCGTGTTTCCTCTGCTCATGAAAATTACTTTGTAAACAGTAAACACTCAGTGTTTGTTGCTACTGTTAATATTCCAGCTGCAGTATCTGATTTAGGGAGGACAGGCTGTTCTCGGCCTCTCTGAGCTAGTAAATGGGAGCAGAAAGGAACACATCTGTGGCTCTTATCAGAGTGCCTCCCCCATGGCTCTCGCTGTATAGAGAGGAAGGCCCCAGGGACCCTGTGGCTTGGATTATTAGGCAGAGTACCAAGAAGGCCAGCAGGGATTTTTCTGTGATTAGAGAGAGATGGTTAGTCTAGGAGCTCTGGTGATGCTGTGGTTAAAGCTCTGGGCTGCTAACTAAAAGGTTGGGGGTTCGAAGCCACTAGCCGCTCTGTGGGAGAAAGATGAGGCAGTCTGTTTCATAAGATTTATAGCCTTAGAAACCCTGTGGAGATAGCTATGAGTTGGAGTCAACTCAGTGGCAGTGGGTTTGGGTTTTTTTTTTTTTTTTTTTTCCCCGTTTGTGTGTTTGGTTAGTCCCTGTCTTTAGGCAGCTGCACATGGACACCAGGGAACATGGACCTGAGTCCCAGCTTTGGCCCTGCCTTGCCCCAGTGCCTCAGACATCTGTGCCAGCTCCCTAGGCCTCATTTTCCCTCTTGCTAAAATAAATGGAGATGCAGCCTCCTTTGCCCTGCCCTTCCCACTGAGGGTGAAGAAAGCCACTGCAGAACCTTCAGAGCCTGGGCTCGTGTTTGGGTGGGCTGGGCCCTGAAACAGATGACCCGTGAGTGACACCAGGTATGCTTTGGACCCCAGGATCATTGAGCTGAATGGACAGAAGCCGCCCCTTACCTACAAGCGCTTCCAGGCCATCATCAGCCGCATGGAGCTGCCCAAGAAGCCAGTGGGCTCGGTGACCAGCCAGCAGATGGAGAGCTGCAGGGCTGAGATCCAGGAGAACCACGATGAAACCTACGGTGTGCCCTCGCTGGAGGAGCTGGGTGCGTACTCCTGCCACAGCCTCCTACAGGCAGACCCCCCCCACTCCGTGTTGTTACTGGTTGCCATCAAGTCAGCTTGGCTCACGTCGACCTTACGTGTAAGAGAACGAAACATTGCTGGTTCTGCACCATCTTCATGATTGTCGACGTGTCTGAGCATTGTTGTGACTGTTGCCTCAATCCATCTCACTGAGGGTATCCCTCATATTTTTCTTTTTTATCAACTAATAAGTGCTGTTATAGAAAGTTGAGAAAACCCAGAAAAACAAAAATAATGGCAACTGTTAGGCTGCTGCCCCCCAGAGGTAATGCCAATGGCAGTGTTGGTATTTGTCCTCCCATTACTCACGTGTGTAGTCTTCAGTCCAGGTCATGCCTCTAGCTTTGTACTTCTGTGTAGCCCCAGTCTGGTGCTGGCATCAGTGGGCTTCTTGTACCAGCATAATTAGTATTCTCTCTGTTAAAAGAGGGTCTGTCAGTCCCTCAGGTTACTGACCACACCTTTGTCCCCTGCCGCCACCACCACCTTTTTTTTTATATGAACAAAGGTAACCTCACCTGGAATCCACAGTTGTTGTCAGTAAAAGGGGGTGAGATGACCATTTTGCTGTCACCTGCCTGGAATGATGAAAGGAAATGGTAACAGTGGGGACAGAGTCAGGATGACCTACAGCACATGGAAGCACCAAGGGTTAGCTCAGCCCCAGTAGCACCAGGGACACTGTGGTTCAGGTCTTACACATATGAGAGCAAACCAACTGTGTCAGGGCTTGCTGAGCTCTCCCTGAGCCGGCCTGGCCTGCACTCCATGACCTGCCCCTCCTCCTGCAGGGTTCCCCACCGAAGGACTTGGCCCAGCTGTCTGGCAAGGAGGAGAGACAGAAGCTCTGGCCCGCCTGGATAAGCACTTGGAACGGAAGGTATAGGCCCCCTTTTCTGAGACCTAGGGACCATGGATGCTGACACCCGGGCAACAGGGAGGTGCAGTCAGATGCATGTCCATTGGAGCCTTGTAGCTCTGACTGGTGGGAAAATGAAAATCTTCCTGAGAGCAGAGATGACAATAATAAAAGCCACTTCCATTTGTACCATGTTCCCATTATTGGGCAGAGCATTCTGGGGTGACCATTTGTTGGCTTTGCCTCCTTTCATCGTCCCAGTAGTCCTACAAGTTAAATACCACACTCCCTACTTTACAGATCAGGCTTAGAGAGGTTGAATAACTGTTAGTGAAGAGTAGAGGTAACACTGTTAGTGAGGAGTAGAGAGGCCTGGTTCTCTGTGCTTCCGAAGCTGACACTACATTGCCTTTCTTGCATCTGTGGGCAGGTTCTCCTTCCTAGAGGGTGCCTCGTCACTAGAGGACATGGAATTGCTTATGCTGGCATGGGTCTGTCGCCCTTTTTGCTGAGCCTCCTCCAAGGCACTGCTTGCCATTTGCTTGCACACAGAGCAAATGGCCCACCTCCCCAGAAGTAGGACTTGGCAATAGGAAGGAAAGATGTCCCATGGCCTTACCTGGGGCTAGAGGAGCAGAGGAGATTCTTCTAGTTACTGGATAGCAATCAGCTCCTAGTTTCCTGCCCCTACAGTTAACTTATTGGCTGGTCCTTAAAGCCACAGTCTTTTCTGTCCGTGCTCAGATGGCTTGGCATTTGGTGGGAGCCAGTTGAGTGAAGACAGAAACCAGGCCGGGGTGGCCAGAAACTGGAGGTGGGGGTGGGGGAGTGGAGAGGGGTTGGCTGTGAAAGGAGAGTGGACCTGGATATAGGGATACCAGAAGTTTGTGTTTTATTTTCAAAACGAGAATTTCTCCTGTGTTCTGGAAATGGATACTGTAAAGAAGGAGAGGTTGAATGAGCCAGAGAGAGAAGGAAGAAGGGAGGGATCTGCAGCCAGGTGGGCGGCCTTGGCCTTGGACAGGGTCACAGGAGGGAAGGAGGAAGGGTAGGCGTGGACACAGGTGAATTTGTAGATTTGGTGTTTCTGCCTGATGGCTTCTGTTTCCTTTATGAGGAAGCAAGGCCATGTGATGGAGGTCAGGACACGTGGAGTTCCGAGGCAGGTGTAAAGTTGGTGAAGTAGTCGTCATCAAGAGGAGAGAGTGCTAGGAGTTAACAAGAGGAAGTGATTATAACAGGTCACGGAGAAACTGGCCTCTGGCACCAGAAGCCCAAGTTCAGCCCAGGCCCGTCCTTTACCATCTGCGTAACTGCAAGAGAGTCAAATCATGCTTTGAGCTCAGTTTCCTCGTTTTCAAAAGGAGGCAATGATCAGTGCTGCCTCAGAGGATGGTTAAGTGCAAAGGAGAGAAAGCACATCACTGAGTTACAGGCAGGAAAGCACTGCACGAGTGGCAACTGTGATAAAAAACAAGGCCAATCAAACAGCCGCAGATAGGATGTTGTTGGTCCCCAGGAATGGGTAGGGAGTTTTATCCTTTCCTAGGCCCTGTTGAGTGATGACAGGAAGTCTCGGGTAGCCGTGATGCAGAACCAACTGCCGGGGCCACCGAGCAGGGCCTGAGATGGGGAGATGTTTTTCTTTCTGGAAAGTAGGCTTTTTCCTTTTTCCTGTATGATTACAGAATTTGTTTAATGCTCTTGGAATTTTTTCACATCTGTCATTTTATTTTATCCCCAGGAGGTGGGAAGTTCTGCTCTTCTTTAACAGATAAGTGTCTGAGAGACTTGAACTTGTTCAAGATCAGATCACAAATTAAATCGCAGCGAAGACAGGGGCGTGGGCCTCGTTGTTTTCTCTCAGCTCCATCTCACATTCTGCTAGCATGAAGTAGTGGGGCCAGCACAGCATTCCAACACTGGCTCTGTGGCTTTCTATGCCATGACTTTAGGCAGATTACTACTCACCCACCCACCTGGTGCTTCAGTTTTCTCCCTTGTAACTTTAGAATAATGACACCAAGAAGGACTACTGTGAAGCTTAAATTGAAGTGTTGTTGTTGTTGTTGTTATGTGCCGTCGAGTCGGCCCCGACTCATAGCGACCCCTCCTTGGGTTTCCGAGGCAGTATCACTACGGAAGTAGGATTGCCCAACCTTCCTTCCGAGGAGTGGCTGGTGGGTTTGAACCGCCAGCCTTCTGGTTAGCAGTCAAGTGCTTTTAGCCACTATGCTACCAGAGCTCCTTAAATTGAAGTGAGAGAGTATATATATGAAATGCCTTTATACTCAACTAACCAAAGCAAACCAAAGCAAACTCACTGCCGTCAAGTCAGATACGACTCATAGCGGCCCCTCCTTGGGTTTCCAAGGCAGTATCAATACAGAAGTAGATTGCCCAGTCTTCCTTCCAAGGAGTAGCTAGTGGGTTTGAACCGCCAGCCTTCTGGTTAGCAGTCATATACCTTAGGCATTAAGCCACCAGAGCAGTCAATTACTAACCAAAAATTGGTGGTTTGAACTCACCCAGCAGAACCGTGGAAGAAGGGCCCAGAGATCCGCGTCCACAAAGATTATAGCTGGGAAAACCCTAGGGAGCAGTCCTGCTGTACACACACGTACGAGGTTGCCATGAGTCAGGAACAACAAGATGACTCACATAATGGGTTATTTTTTGGGTTAATGTGTCCCTGGTACAAAGGGAAATGAGAATCCCCCGTTGGGTAAGCTTGGCTTTTCAAACAGATAAAATAGATGGCTGCCTAGGAGTCTTCCTGCCCAAACCCTTTCCCCAGTATATACCCATAAAGTATAAAACTCAACCACTAGAAGTTAGGTCCTATAGTCGAGTTAGTTTTTTAAAACACAGATTCAAACTATCCTATGAATCCAGTTATCACCTTAGTATGAATCTGCGTGTTGTTGTTGTTAGGTGCCGTTGAGTTGATTCCAATTCGTTGTGACCCTGTGGACAGCAGAACAAAACCCTGCCTGGTCCTGTGCCATCCTCACAGCCGTTGCTGTGTTAGAGCCATTAGGGCAGCCACCATGTCAGTCCATCTCATTGAGGGTCATTGTCTTTTTCACTGACCCCCTGCTTTACCAAGCACCATGTCCTTCTCCAGGGACTGGGCCCTCCTGAGAACATGCCCAAAGTATGTGAGACAAAGTCTCATCATCTTCACTTTTAGGAAGCATTTTGGTTGTTCTTCTCCCAAGACAGATGTGTTCTTTCTTCTGGCAGTCATGGTATATTCAGTATTCTTCACCCACACCATAATTCAAATGCATCAGTTCTTCTTTGGTCTTCCTTATTCATTCATTGTCCAGCTTTCACGTGCATATGAGGCGATTAAAAATACCATGGCCAAGGTCAGGTGCACCTTAGTGCTTAAGGTGACATTTTTGTTCTTTAATACTTTAAAGAGGTCTTTTGCAGCAGATTTGCCCAATGCAATATGTTTGATTTCTTGACTGCTGCTTCCTTGGGCATTGATTATGGATCCAAGTAAGATGAAATCCTTAACAATGTCAGCCTTTTCTCTATTTATTATGATGTTACTTATTTATCCAGTTGTGAAGATTTTTGTTTTCTTTATGTTGAGGTGTAATCCATACTGAAGGCTGTGGTCTTTGACCTTCATCAGTAAGTGCTTCAAGTCCTCTTCACTTGCAGCAAGCAGGGTTGTGTCATCTGCATATTGCAGGTTGTTAATAGTCTTCTTCTAATCGTGATGCCACATTCTTCTTCATATAGTCCAGCAACCCTGACATATACCTTTCCTCGTTTTAAACCACGTGATATTCCCTTGTTCTGTTTGAACACCTGCCTCTTGGTCTTTGTACAGGTTCTTCATGAGCATAGTTAATTCCCATACTTCATAATGTTATCTATAATTTTGTATGATCCACACAGTCAAATGCCTTTTGTATTCTCTACTTTCAGCCAAAATCCCATCTGACATCAGCAGGGATAACCCTGGTTCTACATCCTCTTCTGAATCTGGCTTGAATTTCTGGCAGTTCACTGTCAATGAATTGCTGCAGCTGTTTTTTAACTATCTTTAGCATAATTTTACTTGCATGTGTTATTAATGGTGTTGTTCAATAATTTCTGCATTCCTTTGGCTCACTGTTCTTTGGAATGGGCACCGATATGGGTCTCTTCCAGTCAGTTGGCCAGGTAACTGTCTTCTAAATATCTTAGCATAGCTGAATAAGGGTTTCCAGTGTTGCATCTATTTATTGAAACATCTCAATTGGTATTCTGTCAGTTCCTGGAGCTTTGTTTTTCATCAGAATCTTCAGTGCAGCTTGGACTTTTTACTTCAGGACTATTGGTTCTTCATCATATGCTGCCACCTGAAATGGTTGAATGCCAACCAGTTCTTTTGGCCCAATGACTATATTCTTCATCTTCTTTTGATGCTTCCTGTATTGTTCAATATTTTGCCCATAGACTCCTTCAGTATTGTAACTGCAGGCTTGCATTTTTTTCTCCAGTTCCTTCAGCTTAAGAAATGCTGTTCTAACTTTTTGGTTTCCTAATTCCAGGTCTTTGTACATATTGTTATAATACCTTACTTTAGTAGTCTCCTTGAGCTGCCCTTTGAAATCTTCTGTTCAGCTCTTGTATTTAGTCATTTATTCCATTCACTTTAGCTTCTCTTCATTCAAGAGCAAGTTTCAGAGTGTTTTCTGATACCCTTTTTGGTCTTTTTTTCCTTTTCTGTCTTTTGTAGATCTTCTGTTTTTTTCATATATGATGTCCTTCCACAGTTCATCTAGCCTTTGGTCATTAGTGTTCAGAGTGTCGGATCTGTTCTTAAGACGGTCTCTGAATTGAGGTGGGATATCCTCAAGGTGGTACTGTGGTGCTTGTGGACTTGTTTTAATTTTCTTCAGCTTTACCTTGAACCTGTGTATGAGCAGTTAGTGTAAGAAATGCCGATCAGAAGGGGTGTTCAGTTATAGGAGTGTGTGTGTAGGAGAGGAGCAGGAGACGTGGGGAGCCTGACCTGGTTGGAAAGCCTGGAAGGACAGTCAGAGGCCCTGGGTTCCTGAAGGAGTGCAGGAAGGAAGTGCCAGGAGAGAAGGCTGTGGAGGAAATGGGAGGCCTGGCAAACACGGACCACTGCCTTGAGCTGGGGGCCAGCAGGCTTTCCCCAGGTCTTTCCTCTTTGCCCCCTCTCTTCCCACTGCAGGCCTGGGTCGCCAACTATGAGAGACCCCGAATGAATGCCAATTCCCTGCTGGCCAGCCCCACGGGCCTCAGCCCCTACCTGCGCTTCGGCTGCCTCTCCTGCCGCCTCTTCTACTACCGCCTGTGGGACCTGTATAAAAAGGTGAGGGTGCAGTGGCAGCAGCATGGCCTGCCCCAGTCACAGCCAGAGAGCCAGGGTCTCCTGGGCCAGTCACCCTGAAAAGGGCCATTCCCTCAGGCCCTGGGAGTGGGAGGGAGCCTGGGTTGTACATCCTGGGAGTGCTTAAGTGGCCATCTAGTCCAGAGAAGGTGGAAAGAGCTCTTGTCTAAGTGGTGGCCGAGCCAAGCACACCCTGTAGAGCAGAAGGATTGGCAGAAAAGCAGGCCTCTGGGTGTGACCCTAGAGAGGGCAGGTGTGTTGGCTGCAGGTAGATGGGGGCGAAGTCCTCAGGCTGGGAGGCAGGCCTGGGTCAGGCCAGAGTCGCTCTCTGGGCTGCCCCAGAGCATTAAAAGCACAGTCCAGGAGGAGGTGTGCCCATCAGCATTGGAGGAAACACTCAGGGGGATTGCGTGTAGGCTGAGTAGACAAATTACCCTGTGTTCGTCACAGAAGGACAGAGGACAACCTGTTCTCATCCATCACATGACCTTGTGTCTGCAGTCTGTAATACCATGTTCTCATCTGTGCCAGCATCAGGATTTTGTGGCATGGCATGGTTTAGCCACTTTGGTGGATCATCTTGTGATTTCAAGAAAGTCATTATTTACCTGGAGGCCTAATCTCGTTTCATTCTCCCGCACCCCTAGATTCATACTATTGCATGTAACTTCTTTAACCGTAACGTAGACTGAGCATTTTTTATGCATGCTGCTGGGAAAACTCCCTTTGACTTTGTAGAAAGTGGGGCCAGACAGGGAACCCTGAGGACTAGGCTCATGGCCCCGTCTTGGGGCCCCCGGCTCCTAATGCAGAGTCCTCCTGGGACAGCCCTTTCCACTGCCTGACTCTGTCCTCGGCTCAGCAGCACAGCCGGGCGCCGGAGCATTGCAGAGGGGTTCAGTCTGCAGATGTGCTATGCCACTGCCACCACAAGGAGATCGTCCCTCCACACCCAGGCTTCGTAGCCACCAAATCTGGGGCGGCTCCATATTCCTCTGTGGGAGAGAGCTGAGCACTGTAGTGCTGAGAGCTGGCCAATTGTGTGTACCCACACGCTACCCCCACCCCTCAGGTAAAACGGAACAGCATACCCCCCCTCTCCCTGTTTGGGCAACTCCTGTGGCGAGAGTTCTTCTACACGGCAGCCACCAACAACCCCAGGTTTGACCGCATGGAGGGGAACCCCATCTGCATCCAGATCCCCTGGGACCGCAACCCCGAGGCCCTGGCCAAGTGGGCCGAGGGCAAGACGGGCTTCCCTTGGATTGACGCCATCATGACCCAGCTGAGGCAGGAGGGCTGGATCCACCATCTGGCCCGGCACGCCGTGGCCTGCTTCCTCACCCGTGGGGACCTCTGGGTCAGCTGGGAGAGCGGGGTCCGGGTGAGTGCCCTCGCAGTGGGGAAGCATCCCCTTGGTCAGGCCCAGCAAAGGGCAGCTCCATTCTGGGCTGGGGGATGGGCTGGGATCCTGGGTCCAGGAGATTCTTTCTGAATGCTGTTAGGCCTGCCCTCAGCAGAGAACTTTGGCTTTTCCCTACTGAGGACTTCTTGGGAACCACTGTGGCAGTAAGTCCTCCACCCTCACTCTCCAGGTATTTGATGAGCTGCTCTTGGATGCAGACTTCAGCGTGAATGCAGGCAGCTGGATGTGGCTGTCCTGTAGTGCTTTCTTCCAGCAATTCTTCCACTGCTACTGTCCTGTGGGCTTCGGCCGCCGCACGGACCCCAGTGGAGACTACATCAGGTGAGGGTGCAGACCAGACACTCTAGCTCCTGACCTCTCCAGCCTCTTCATGTGGGAGATGCTTGGCCCATTGAAGGCAGGTCCAGGTATGCTGACGTGTCTTCCGATCCATCTCTTTCAGGCGATACCTGCCCAAACTAAAAGGGTTCCCTTCTCGCTACATCTATGAACCCTGGAATGCCCCTGAGTCCGTTCAGAAGGCAGCCAAGTGCATCATTGGTGTGGACTACCCACGGCCCATTGTCAACCACGCAGAGACCAGCCGGCTCAACATTGAGCGAATGAAGCAGATCTACCAGCAGCTCTCCCGCTACCGGGGCCTCTGTAAGCAGAGCTGTTCCCTACCCCTACCCTACCCCTAGCTCACTGAAGGGAAGGGTAAGCTCCTGTGGCCTCACGGGGGCAGGTGGGTATTTCCAGATTTGCCAAGGGAGGCCGAGCGCTGCCTTCCAGTCCATTAAATTGACTTGATTTCCCAGGGCCTGCAGGCTGGGTGGATTGGGCCTCCCTGAATAGTTGTGGGACAGTGGGAAGATAGGGCACTTCAGTGTCTTGGGCCAGCTCTCCCCCGTCTCCTCCTGCCCCACAGCCCTCTGCACTCCTGTCACATTGCATTCTGATTACTCCCTTGCTTCTCTCCCAGGTCTCCTGGCATCTGTCCCTTCCTGTGTGGAAGACCTCAGCAACCCTGTGGCTGAGCCCAGCTCGAGCCAGGCTGGAAACCTGAGCAGTGCAGGTGAGTGGCATGGCCTCGCTGTGGCCTGCCCTTCCCAGAGCACTAGGAAGCATATCGGGTCAGTCACTCAGGCTGAGGGTAGAAGGCAGAACAAGTCCTGTCCCTGATGGAGCTTGGATTCCACCTAGGGAGACAGGCAGTAAAGGGACCAAGGAAGGTGATTTCATGCCCAGTGCTTTGGGAGAAATAAACTTGAGTGGTTTGACAGAGGGCGATGAGGGAGAAGGGACTGCTTTGGGTTATTGTAGATTGGAGTTATCAGGGGACACTGCTCTGAGCAGAGAATGAGCAGGAGACAGGCCTTCCACGAGCTGGAGGCAGAACATTCCCAGAACAGGATGATAAGAAAAGACCCAGAGACAAGCACTAGCTTAGCCCATTCAAGGACGTGAAGGAGACCAGTGTAGTAGAGCGTCTGTCTGAGTGAGGAGCTAGACTGGCTGGGGCTGAGCTGCAGAGTCCTGGGGAGGATTCGGATCCTCTCCTCAGTGCCCTGAGAAGGCACTGAGGGGGTCAGCGAGGTGGGGGGTGATCTGCATCTTACAGGCTTACTCTGCCTTGCCATGTGGGGCATGGACGTGTGGGGCAAGAGTGAACATACCAAAACCAAGCCAAACTCACTCCATCGGATCGATTCAAACTCACAGTGACCCCCTTTGAGTTTCCAACATGGTAAATCTTTATAGAAGTAGATTACCCAGTCTTCCTTCCATGGAGTGGCTGGTGGGTTTGAACCACCAGCCTTCTGGTTAGCAGTCAAATGCCTTAGGCACTACGCCACCAGAGCTCTTTAGAGTGAGCATAGGGAGACTAAATGAGGCTGCTTTTGTCCAGGCAGGGTGCCAGGGTGGTGGCAGGAAAGAGGAAAGTAGGCGGATTTGTGGCAGATTAGTATTGTCCCTCTGGCTTTGGGAGGAAGATCAGTAATGTGAGACTGCCAGAACTCCTAGGGTTCTTCCTGCTCATCCAGCCAGGCTGGTCTGAGCAAGCTCTGAGAGGCCAGTCTCAGGGCCGCAAAGGGGTCCCTCACCTTCAGAGCAGGGACAGCAGATGGGCTACATCTGCCTCTGGCCTAGGGCCCATGAGATTTGGTGCCCAGACGCTGGCCCTGCTGTCAGCAGGCCTGGTCCTCCACTTTGCAGGCCCTCCTAGGCGAAGTCACTGCTGAAGGAAGGCCAAGGGCCCAGGCAGAGCAGCACTGTGCCGCGTCCCACCAGTGAGCAGGCCTCTGCCCTGCAAGTGCTGCCCCTCCACACTTTGGGGTTATCTTGTCTCTAGCACAGTCTACATGACACATTGATACACTTCCCTACAGGCCCAAGACTACTACCTGGTGGCCCAGCATCCCCCAAACGCAAGCTGGAAGCAGCTGAGGAGCCACCTGGTGAAGAACTCAGCAAACGGGCCAGGGTGGCCAAATTGCCCAGCCCAGAGCTGCCCAGCAAGGATGTCTGAGAGTGAGTGAGGCGGCTGTGAGGAGGGAGAGGGAGGGGCTTGGTTTTGAAAGCATCTGCCTGCCCAGCTACAGGTTGTTGTCATTACTTGCCATTGAGTCAGTCCCAACTCTTGGCAATCCCGGGTGTGCAGAGCATAACTGTGTCCTGTGGGGGTTTTCAGGGCTGTAGCCTCTTCCAGATTTCCAGGCCTGTCTTTCAAGGTGCCTCTTTCGAACCAGCCTTTTGACTGCTGGTTTAAGTTGAACACTTAAACATTTGCACCACTCAAGGAGCCTTACCTAAAGCTTAAGATACGGGAAACTAGATTAAAGGCTTACCAGGACTGTATGACTCTTACAATCTCAGCACTCAAATTCTACCCTTCTGACCTCTGTACCCTCTAAACTATAAACGAACATCCCTTTTCTTTTTCGGCCAACTAAGGAAGAACACCCCCTCCTTTTGGGTCTTTCTCTCTGTCAAAGTGAGTCAAATCCAATAAAAGCAATGAGACCCTGATGTGGAATTGTGGGAGAAAGGGTTCCATGGCAGCATCTGAGGCTGCTCCAAGCCCCTCAGCTCTCCCCAGCATGCTGTGTTCTGCAGGATGACCAGTGGAGGGCAGCACTTACCCTTCCACAGACAGCCCTGTGCTATGGCTCATTCAAGCCCCACCTAGTGGATCTTGCAAGTTCAGCACCACCTTAAAGCATTCGGCTGCTAACCGAAAGATCTGCGGTTCGAACCCAGCAGCCCCTCCACAGGAGATGATAGGGCAGTCTGCTTCCATAAAGATTTATAGCCTTGGAAACCCTGTTGGGGCCATTCTACTCTGTCCTATAGGATTGTTCTGAGTCGGAATCAACTCAGTGGTAGGGGGTTTGGTTTTGGAAGGGCCAGTAGACTCAGTCTTCCCATAGTTTTTGCCCTTTACAGCTCCTCCTCAGTTCTCACCTTTCATGTGGCTTCAGCTCTGCATTGCTCTGTCAGCTCTTAGTTTTCTTAGAATCCTCCTGAATGGTGTAACAAACTTGCTTCCCCTTCCCCAAAGAAGGCTTCGATGCCTTTCTTGGGGAAATGTTGATTACTGTCCACTTGGACCATCATCTCGGGCTGTTCCTGGGCCACGTCTGCTTCATTAGTTTGGAGGATGACTTTCTCAATGGAACGACTGAGTGAGTCTTTTTTCCAAATCCCTGTCACTTTGGGACCAGGGCTAGGGCCAACTTGTCTGTCTGTCTAAGCTCATATGGTGAGTACGATGGGGATGCTGTTGAATGCTTTCGCCTTTACCCTTGACAAGGCTCTTTGTCACAGATGTTGCTAATGGTCAAGTTTGTGCTGTCTTGCTTCTGGGAGCACCAACAACCTTCAATATTGTACAGACTTGATGATCTCTTAGCTCTGAGTTATACTTCTAGAACTTGCTGATGTCTGTCAGATGGGAAGATGAACAGAGTTAAATGTCTGGGTCAAGGTTGCTCAGAGAGCTAGTGGTGTCAAACTCCACATGAAATTGTTGCCAGCAGGTATGTCAAGAAGGGGATGTACAAGACATAAAACATGATAGGGGTACATCCACTGGGGTTAAACAGGTATTACAAAAAGAAGACAAATGATTTATAATTCCCAGACTCTACAAGTTCAGCAGATGGCAGGTATTGGAGGGCTATAGCACTCAGAGGATGCCTGCTGGAGGCTGACACTGAACAGGAATTGGATTTAGGTGGTGAAGAAGGCGTTTCGGACAAGGCAAACTGCTTGGTAGTTATATGCATGGTCCTTACAAGCATTGACATCTTGTACAGATGACTTAACTGCTATGAGACTCAGTTTCCTCATTTATATATTAGGCAGCACTTATCTTTCAAGGAACTCTGATAGTGCAGTGGTTAAGGTATTTGGCTGCTAAGCAAAGGGTCAATAGTTCGAACCCTCCAGTACTTTCATGGAAGAAAGACGAGGCAATCTGTTTCCATAAAGAGATACAGCCTTGGAAACCCAAGGGGGGGTCACTATGAGTTGCAACTGACTCAATGGCAGTGAGTTTGGTTATCCTTCAGTAGGAAGAGTTCCCAAGACAAAGAGATGAATACGTATGTGTCAGTTAGGAATGTGTGGTGCTACTAGTAATTGAAACAAAGAGGTGCTTATTTTTCTTATCTGAAAAGAAGCCCAGAGGTAGATGTTGCTGGTTTTGGTTTGGTGGCTCAACAGTATCAGAGTCAATTTCTCTGAGAGTCTGTTGACTGTTTCTTCACAGTCACGAGATCGCTGCCATAGCTGTGGCCATCAGTTCATTCAACACAGGAACAAGAAGAAAGAACAGTGATAGCTGTAGTCACTCATTAAATAAACATCTATCAGTGTCCACAATTTGCCAGACACTATTCTAGGCCCTGGGGATATGGTTGTGAGCAAGGCTGACAAAGTCCCTTTCCTTTGGGGTGCATCTTAGTGGGAGGAGACACAGTAAACAAAGAAATATACATGTCAAGAGGCCATAAGTGCTATAAAGGAAAAATAAAGTTTGGTAAGAAGACAGAAAACAAAGCTTGGGGCACAGTAGAGGATGTGATTGTATATGCTAAGTGTTGGTTGGGGAAGGCCTCTCTTCCCTTTGTCTTAGGCTGGGTTCTCTAGAGGAGCAAAACCAGTGAAGCATCCAAAAACCAAACCCACTGCCATCAAGTCAATTTTGGCTCATAGCCACCCTGTAGGACAGGGTAGAACTGCCCCATAGGGTTTCCAAGACTAAATCTTTACAGAAGCAGACTGCCTTATCTTTCTCCCGTGGAGCGGCTGGTGGGTTCAAGCTGCTGACCTTTTGGTTAGCAGCTAAATGCCTTAACCGTTGTTCCACTTGAGCTCCTTTTTGTGAGGCGTATATGTGTGTATACACAGAGAGAGAGAGATTTCTCTCAAGGAAATCACACAGTTGTGGAGGCTGGCAAGTCCCAGATCCATGGGTCAGGTGTCATGCTGGAGGCTTCTCCTGACTCACATACTTGCAGGGGCTTAGGAACTCAAAATCCACAGGTAAGATGGAAGGCTGCTGGTTCATGGGGCTGTGGGAGCTGGCAGATCTCAAAATGTGTAGGTTAGACAGCAGGCTCAAGTCTTAAGAACCAGAGGTCAGAGGATGACAAGTTGGATGGAGGATCAAGAAAGAGCAGGCTTTGCCAGAGCATCCATATATGTTGGATGAAGGCCACACTCCCAAGGAAACTGATTGGCTGTTCACATCAGATCACAAAATGTAAGATGATTGATTACATTATAGTACAGTATAGAAGAGTGGTCAGTCCGGTGTCTGCCAAACCACTGAAAACCATAGCCTAACCAAGTTGACACATACATTAACCATCACATCTATTATCAAGAAAACATAAGCTTTCCCAGAACACCCCATCCCCAGCCTTTCACTTAGGTCTCCTTAGCCAGAACTAAGTCACAAAGCCACCCCCAAGGCAGGAAGTGGGGATCAGGATTGGCTTAGACTGGTATTTCTCCAACTTTCAAGGGCATCAGAATCCCCTGGAGGATTTAAGCCACAGGTGACTGGCCCCAGCCCAGCATTTCTGATTCAGTAGGTCTGGGGTGGGGCCCAGAAAACCGTATTTCTAACAAGTTCCCAGGAGTTGCTAATGCTGCTGCTCAAGGGACCACACTTTGAATGTCACTTACTTAGGCCAGTCACAATCCATTGTCTGGGCCAGGCCCACAGCCCCCTGAGCAAATCTAGGTTCTATTGTGTCAGAAGTGCAGATCCTGGTAGACAGCTAGCAGTGTCTGCGGAATATGCTGGGCACCTAGCCCAGTCCTTCCCTCATGGTAAGTACTCAGTAAACAGCAGCTATGATTACGGGTATGACTGTAATTATTATTTTAGAGAAACATAAGATTACCATTGAGTCTGATCAGGGAGGGTTCTAGATATCAGGCAGCTGAGTCCTTTGGTGAACTCATTGGGAGTGAAGGAGCACTTTGGAACAGGGGAGTGATGGGATCAAGCTGGCACGTTTGGAACACGAAGCAGGTGTTGGGCTGGGCCCTGGAGAGGAAGCGGGGGAGCCAGCTGAGAGGCTGTGGCAATAATTCCAAGTGAAGGTGTTACACGGGTGCTGAGCTTGGCTCCTGTCACCTGTCTTTCAGTCCAGGAGATTATCTGTCAGCATATTGGGATCATAAGGATTCATTTGCAGAGATTTAGTATGCCCTCGTGGTGGTGGCTCGTGGATGCCACTTAATCAGTTCTCACTTGTGGTGACCCCACACGACCAAGTAGAACATCCCCATAGGATTTTCTAGGCTGCGGTCTTTACAGAAGCCAGTCTGCGGGTCTTTCTCCCACAGAGCCACAGAGCTACAGAGCTAACCTTTAGGTTAGCAGCTAAGTGCCAAGTACTTAGTAACTGTTTTTGCCACCAGTGCTCCTTCTGTGCCCCTGGTTGTTGGCTAATTGGGCAGTTAGGCCAGGCCAGGCTGTGAAGGTTGGAAGTCAGACCAGGAGGGCAGAGGACAGAGACTGGTGCAGGACTTCCCTCAAAGGCAGACTGGGGAGCAACCCCATCATCTGAACCCTGAGAGCTAAGAGTGCCCTTGGGTTTTTCACTGCTCTGGTGGTAGCATCTGGGCCTAAAGGTATTTAGATCCTCATTGTAAAAGGTGGTAACAGTGTCTCATCAGCCTTCTTCCCCCCCAAGTGTGCATGCTGGGGAGAGAAGATGAGAAGCATGGGTGAAGTCTCTGCAGGAGTGGACCTCCCCGCACACATGCACGCACACAGCCACGTTGTCCTCTGGCACGTGCTCCTCAGGCGCCTCTCATTGTTGTCACTTCAGTCAGAGCCGGGACCACAAAGCTGCGGCCACGTGGCCGATGTGATCGAGTATCATACTGAGTGGCAGGAGGCTTGCCCCTCCCCTCCTGTCATTTTTCAGTTGTGTGACTTTGAGCTGGACACAACCTTCCTGAGATGCTTGCCACGTAAGTAGGAGGAGTCCATCGTTAGCAGCCTG